CTGGCTATCCTACCTCCTCACTGTGCAACTTTGGACAAGTTCCTTAACTACTGTAAGCCTCATATGTAAAATGGGCGTGAGGGCGGTCGTAGCAGCTGCTCATAGGATTATTGTGAGCATATCATTAGCTAATCCACACAAAGCACTCGACACCATCCCTAATGCACGGTTAGTGGGCAACGGACGTTAGCGATCGTAGTTATTACATCAGAATATCCACCAAGCTCTGTGCAAAGCCCCATGCGTTCATTTTCACAGAGAAGTCACAAGCCTGAGTCACAAAACCAGGGCTTCTGCATCTGCAGGGTACAGGTGTGAGTTCTGAGACCTAGAAATATCCTTCCACAGGACCTGGGTCACACAGCTACAAAAAGACAGAGCCGGGACTCCAAGGCAGGTCTGAGCGTATGCTTACCCCACTGGGCCACCCCACCTGTCACCTGTTGTACTCAGTCATGGGGCCTTTCCCAGATGGTCTCACATCCACCGGCCCACTTATGCCCAGGAGTTGCCTTGGTACCTCACATGGTTTTCAGGACTCAAAGCTAGTGATCGTGGCTGGATTTCTCCAAGCTAGGTATCTGCGTGAACTCGTGCAGCCCTCCTAGCAGCCCAGTAAGATAGAAGGCATTGTTGACTTTCTCCACATGAAGGAGCCGAGACCCAGAGGGGCGGGGTTACTTGCCCCAGGCAGGGCTGGGGTTTGAATCCTGGCAGTGTGGGTCCAGAACCCACAGCATGGCCACTGTGTCTTAGGCCTCCCTCCATCCCTACACCTTCTACCCAAGCACCCAAGGATCCGCAGGGCTTTGGAAAACCTTGAAATAATTCCCTAATAAGCCCCTTGTCGTTCCAGTCTGTGGATGCGTGGTGAGGGGTGCAGCCTGTCTGTCCATCTACAGCCTGGTCAGGAAGGCAGGGAAGGCAAGAAGGTGGGAAGGAAGTGCAGAAAGGGAGGCTGGGCACATGGGAGGGAAAAGAAAGGAGAACAAATGAGGGAAAGGGTGGGAGGAGAGAGGCAGGTAAGGCAGGCCTGGAATGGAGGACCCAGAAGATGAGGGAAAGGAGGCTGGGGGACAGGGGAGGAGGAGCAGCTTGGCTGAGCTATTTCTGTGAATCCGAGTGCTGCCGATTTGCACGTTTAGCCTCTCTTTGCATATTGAGGTCAGAAGGTCCCAGCTCCTCATGTGAGAAGGCATAGAAATTCATCAGTGCAGCCTTCTGGAAAGCTTCTCAAGCACACCATGCCCAGGTTTTCCCTGATGGAGGAAAAGGAAGGGGAGGGAGCATCCCACAAGGGTGGAGGGGTATGCACACCCACACTGCTCCCACTCAACTGGGCAGCTGGCTTAACTCCCGGGGCCTCAGTTTCCCCACCCACAAAAGGAAGTGAAGTGGGCTAGGGGCTCTGGGAGGAACTTAATCAAGTTAAACAAATCACTCCATTAATTAACTCACTGAAAGAGCTCATACCTCAAAAGAGAATGGAGTCAAAGGGAGTTGTAGGAAAGAGATGGGCCAGGCATCTCAGATGCCTTACCCTTTGTCCTGAATCTTTGGGTGGGAGGAAGGAAGGAGGGAGGGAGGGGATGAGGGAAGGGAAGGTGGGAGGGAGGGAGGGGGAGGCAGTAAAGGAGGAAAATACCTTTCTAAGCTAACTTCAGCACTTGTCACTTGCATTACCCTCAAGCTGCCCTATGAAGTAGACACTGGAAGAATCCCCATTTGTAGATTAGCAAATTGAGGCTTGACCTGGTCAGTTACTTGCCCATAGTCACAGTATTAGGGGCAGAGAGCTCTCTGAGTGCAGAGCTGACACTCCCAGCTACTGCACTATACTGACCAGACTGACACACAAGAACAGACAATAAAGGAGAGTCAGCGAACAGACAATAAAGGAGAGTCGGCGAACAGACAATAAAGGCACATGCGGTGGGAACAGGAATGACCCACAATGTCTCTCCATCTCTCTCCACCTTCTCTCTGACCATGCACTCCACTAGCTTGGAGAATACCAATTTGGGGAGATACTTAGGGCTCATCTGTGCCCCCAAACCTTTGGCTTACTTGCAGTTTTGGTTTGTCATGATGGGAACTCTGACCCTAATTCTATGTAACCTCTTGTTTCAAGTCACCATCAACTCCAATGTCACTCAGTTTCAATTCTTCAGACAAAATGCCATGTGCCCAGCCCAACCTGTGGGAAGTTCTCAGATAGCCACACCTGGCCCACCTTGGTATGGCCTGGACAAACAAGGACAGGAAGTAAGAACAGGAAGATTAGATGCCACTGGTATACCGGGAAGGGGGGGGATTGCAGCGGGGAGCAGTGGTTGGCTTCTCTTAGCATTCACTCTTAAAGACAGTGGTCCACGGGTGTTTGGTGTCTCATTCGGTTAAAGCGTCCAACTCTTGATTTCGGCTCAGGTCATGAGATCGAGCCCCACATTGGGCTCTGCACTCAGCATGGAGTCGGCTTGAGATTCTGTCTCCCTCTCCTTCTGCCCTTCCCCATTTCTAAAAATAGATAAATAAATTTAAAAAAAAAAAAGACAGTGGCCTCTGCTCAGGGCACCTTCACTTAAAAGAGAGATTCATTGTCTCTGCTCAAGCTCAGTTGAAAAGGAGAATAAGCAGTGGAGACCAAGAAGTTCCCCTGGCAAGACAGAGAGGCAGAAAAGATCCCCTCCCCTTCCCTGCCTAGTGCCTGAAGATCTACCATTGAAGATTCCTATAGAAACTTAGACAAGTCATTTAACCTCCCTTTGCGTGAAAAGCATAAAGGGCAGCCCTAGATGTTTCGCTCCAAGCAGAGGGTAGGAGGATTAAATTACAAATGCAACTGCAATTTGCAGGAGTTATTAAGTGCTGGTGGGCAGGCACTTGAGTGGTGGAGCAGAAACTGCTGGTTATCTCCCCAGTCTCCATTCTCCCTTCTGTAAGCAGATGTCTTCTCTGGGCACCCAGCTAAAAACCATCTTTCCCAATCTTCCTGGCAGCTGGCTGTGGCCAACTGCTTGGATTGAGGCCAAGGCCCTGTGAAGCCATGCTCAGGCCCTCAAAGAAAAGAAGCATCTTTGCCTTCTCTCCACTCCTGCTTTCTGGAAAGATGCACCTGGTGTTGGGAACCAAACCCGCTATCTTTGTCCCAAGGTGGGATGTGCGTTTTAAAGATGGCAGAGCAACAAGAAAGAAAGTGCCAGGTCCCAGTGCCGTAGGGCCATTGAATCAGCCTGGGCCTGCTGGTGCTCACATTGTTACACGGAGGAGACGTGAACTTCCTTCTTGAAAACCGCCGTTACTCGGCATGTCGGTCAATGTCTTTCCCAGCCTCAGTGACAGAGGCTTCCCACGCCATTTGGCAAGCACAGATTGGTGTCCTGCACAGAGCCAAGGAGAGGGGACCTGGGCCAGGTGGCCTGAGCACAGCTCCACCCCCAGCTCAGAGCCCTGCCCTCAAAGGCCTCTGCTACCTCCGCTAGGAGATTTTTTCTGATCCCGAAATGAGGTCCCCTAGTCTGACAAAGGATGTGGAGGCCCTTTGGGGAACAAGAACTCTAAGACATACAGTGTGGGTGATAGAATGTCATTATTTATGGAACGCTTCAAGCAAGTACAAGAACACTAGCCGTCTCAGATGCCGAGTTATACTCAAAAATGCAGGATGTACAACATTTTGTTTAGGACAGGCTTTTACGCACAGACCCAACCCTTCTCCCCAGTCTTTGACCCCAACACCTCACACATTTAAGGGACTTACCTGATCTGTGAAGGTATTAACTTTACAAACTCTAGGGTAAATGGATCAAAGTAGAAAGTAGCCCCGAGAGAGGGCAGGCTGTGGGAACCCCAACTTAGACCCGGTCCCCTGAGTTTTTTTAGTCTTTGGGGGCAGGTTCTCCAACCACCTTCATGTGTGCCCCCTCAGTCAGAGACTAGGTATTTAAAGTCTGAGGGAAGGAGTTTCTGTTTGTCTGGAGTCACACATAACACCCAGAGTTTTTCCTAAGAGTAGAGAAAGAAATGACTGGTCCTTCCTGGCTTCCCTACCAAAAGGAGAGCACTGGAAATCATTTCCCAATCAAAACCCACACATACAAGGATGGACAGTTCCTATACCACAAAAATTTGAGAAAGGATCTTGAGAAAAGCAGTGGATGCTGAGTGGCTAAGAGATGGAAAAACACCTATTAGCCACCTCACCCTCTCAAAAAAAAAAAAAAAGAATCAAATAAAACAAAAACAGACAAATGAAACCCCCAGGAGAAGCTCTGGAGCCAAGGGGATTTCCTTCCCCACAGAGATAGCATCACCAGTGGCATAATTTGATTTTCTGGCAATGCCTGTGGTTCAGTTTATGAGAAGGAGTCGACATTGTGAACACAAGTCACAGAACATCATCAGAGTATGACCTGACCGTCGTCCTCTGGAGGAGTGCCTTGAAAGAGAGGCCTATGGTAAACCAGATGTCCGCACCATGTCCACACCATGTCCACACCATGTCCACACCATGCAGGGAAAGGACTGCTTAGGGGACAGGACTGGGAACAGGGGTCTGGTTTTGCAATCTTCCCAGACTGTACACTCTCTGGCAAGATTCCACGGTGCCTCCTCTTCTACCAGGACCTAGTAGGATATCTCTAGAAATGTAGTTTATCTTTTTACACACCTGAATGCCACTCAGCTGTTCTTACAGACGGAAGGGACCATGCTTCCTGTCATTACCATCTGGCCACCTGCTATGCTTCTCAGTAAGGCCTCCTAAAAATACCCTTCTCCAATATCCCCTGTGAATTTAGGAGAATAAAAAGAAAAATCAAACTTAATCTGCTCAGATTGGCTTTCCATCAAGGAATACTTTTGTAATGTGTGGGATAGAGTGGGAAAGCAGAAGCTTTAGAGACAGATTTGAATTCGAAGAATACATGTTTTTATTATTACAGCTAAGATGTATTATCTATTCACTTCATCTGGACTAGCTCATTTAATCTTCTCAACGACCCTCTGAGTTAAGTAGTATTATTTCCCCCCATTTCATAGATAAGGAAACAGACACATAAGTAACTTTACCAAAGACACTCAGCAAGAAAATTGCAGCGTCAGTCCGACTCCAGAAACAAGGTTGCAGTCCCTCAGCAGAATTGTCTCCGAGTGAATGTTGGTGCTTTTCCCATCTCCCAGATCCTGGTTCAGACCAACTCAGGCATGACGTGACTAGACAGGAGGGAAAGGGAGGGAAGTTTGAGAGGACAGAAGTATGGGAAGCTAACAGCCTGGTTGTCCTGAGGACCATCAGACAAACATGCAGCACCTGAGTGAGGGGCAGTTTGGGCAACCTATAGTATCCATGGAGAGCCTGTGAGACAGCAGACATGTTGCCAAATTATACAGCTCCCAGCATCATGGTTCTGGGCACTGACAAGGGCCAGGCAGGAGACAAGTTGGCAGGGATTCAAAGGCTCCCACCCCAGCAGAGACAGATGATAGATAGATAGATAGATAGATAGATAGATAGATAGATAGATGATAGATAATAGAGATAGATGATAGATAAAGATAGACAGATGATAGATAGATAGATGATAGATAGATAGATAGATAGATAGATAGATAGATAGATAGATAGATAGATGATAGATAGATAATAGAGATAGATGATAGATAATAAAGATGGATAGATGATAGATAATAGATGATAGATAGATGATAGATAGATGATAGATAGATAGATAGATAGATAGATAGATAGATAGATAGATAGATAGATATTGGAGCAGTATGCTGTATCAGATGCTTAGCCACAGAGACAGAGCCATCTGTGACGAGGTGGGTGCATGGATGACAGAGGCTGGTACAGTATTAGCAGGTACGAGACCTCTGACAGAGGGTAGGCTGGGGCTGCTGATATACTTGCCCTGGTCAGTGTGACCTCTGACACTGGTCTGGACTGAGCCTCCCAACAGGGCCTTGGGGGACTTCAGCCAAGGAGGGCTTAGCTAGTGTGAGATTTCACCTTCCTGCCCCTTCCCACACTGGGGCTCTGTATGGGGCTCCAGTCATCCCTCTGCCTACAGATCATCACTCCTGTCACCCTTCACATTTACTGAGCACTTACTTTGTTCGCAGCTCAGACTGCCTCACTGCTGCTTTTTCATTGAACTATCACAATAGGCATATGCAGTCGGATGTCATTTTAGGTTCTCAGGTTGAAAACAGCAAACCCATACACTTGTTCCACTGTCTCTCTCCTTACCACAGTGCCCTTGGAGGGCACACGTGTCCGAACAGAAAGGTAAAAAATGGGCCAAATTCCTTCAGCCTTTAAGAAAGTGAGAAATGAACTTTTATTGTGTTAAGGCACTGAGGACCGAAGATGAACTTGTCACTGCAGCTTCGCCTGACTCATACACTACTCACAACCCCATGAGTTTGTTGTGAGAACTGAGTTTATGTGGGTAAAGGGTTCATAATCTGGCCTGATGTGTAGTTAGCACGCCATAAATGCTAGCTGGTGTCAATCTCATTCTCTGATGACGGAATCCTGAGAGTGGTCCCCAGAGGACTCGAGGTCTTACAGATGTTGGCATTTATTGCCCCAGATTGAACATCCACTCAGCTCCTGTTCAGAACAGCTGGGGCTGAAGATACTTCATGTTTGCAAAGGGTTTTATTGGGTTCGTTTGGTTTTTTTAAGAATTATACAGTAACCTCAGACTCACAGAGTCAGAAAGGATCACAAAGGTTAGCTGAGGCTTAATGGCCTTCTCCAGTTTTCGTACTGAGATTCCTTCAGCCTCAACTGAACACCCACAGGGCCTACCCAAGAGCTCTTGCTGCTAGAAAGTTTCTTCCTTATGCTTGCCCGGACTGTCGCCAGTAGCCCCACCCTGGCCAGCACAACTAGCCGCCCAATGACCACTCATTCCATTCATTCAGCTAACAGTTATTGGGTTCCTACCTTGGGTCTGTTCTCACTGCTCCCTGTGACCTCAAGTGAGTTATTCACCTTTTCTGAGCTTCCAATGCCTCATCTATAAAATCAGAAGAGTAACAGCATCTAAGTCACTGGTGAGGATTAGGTAAGGTCATGTGTACCAGGTGCATAGCACAGAGTCTGGCACATACATAGTGAGTGCTCAGCAACTATTACTTGTCATTGTCACTGCTGTGGTTGTAACGACTTAGGAAAAATAGGAGCTGAAATCAATATTTACAAGTCTGAAAAGGACTGCAGAAGACAAAGGGTAGGATGTTACAGAATCATTGAATGCATCTGAATGGGGTCCTCTTATTCCACGGGAAGAGAAATGCGACTGGCTATCGGGGGACCCTCAGAAGGCCTGGAAAGCCAAGCCGAGAAAAGCCAGAGTACGGAGCTTAGTGGGTCCCCCTTAAAAGAGCCCAATACACATGGTAGGAGAGCTGTTCTTAGGAATACAGCAGAACAAGGGTGGTGGCACCAGAACCAGGAGCAGCTTAGGATTCAGTGCTAAGGTGGACCTTTTGTGCAACAGAGAGCAGTCCCAGCAGCTTAAAGAAGCTAAACAGGATGGACACTACGGACAGAAAACAGATGAGGCAGAATGGCTTTGTGCCACCTTAGAGCTCCCTGACAGGGACGTGAGCACAGCCAGGGACACAGCACAGCCAGAGATACAAACCAGACGCCCAGGCTGCTGCCTGTGAACAGTTCCTGCTTCTAAGCCACAGCTCCCCGCATGCAAGAGGAGAAAGCTGGGGTAGGGGGTGTTGGGAACAGACTGACTGCATGCCCTCCTCAGCTCGCCAGCATGGCCCAGCCTCACTGTGGAGTCAGATCAGCCAAATGGAACGCACGCAGTGGGAGGCGATTGGCCCACTCCCTCCCAACGCCCTTCCAGAGCCTAGTTTGTGGTTTTGTACAGTCTCACTGCATCTTCTTTTGGAGGAGAGCCTGGGAGGAAGGCTTTTTTTCCTCCCTATGTCTGCTGCTTGCCTGCTGGTTTCACTGATCACTCTTCCCATTTCCTGGCGGCTGCCAGGATGTGACCAAGGAGGGCAGGCAACCCTTCGGTGGGTGGAGGCAGCTCCCAGCTGAGTCACAGAGGATGTCCCCCACCCCCGCCAATAAAACAGAAAGCACCAGCTCTTCCTGGGAGAAGGCGAAGAATCCTGCTAAATCCTATTTAAAACAAGAGTTGTTTGGGGTTTTTTTTTTTTTTTTTCCTGTTTGGGGAAACAAAGTGGAAGTGCCCTGCCCCCACCAGAAACAAAGGTGCAGGAAGGAAGTGGAAGAGAGGGTGTCATGGAGAAAGTCTACCCATTGGGTCACATCAACTGGTTTTCCAGCTGATGGCTGTCCCCAGCATTCAGGCACCGGGCCAGGCCCCAATTAGCCAGTTACAGTGACAGACACTGACAGTCTCCATCAGGTAACCAGCGTGGGTCAGGGCCTCTGCCAACAGAGTCGAGTTGCGGGGAAAGCCACAACCTGGGTTGGATTCTGACTCCAGTACATATATTTGTGTGTGAACTTCTGTGAGCCATACCACTTCTGTGAGCCTCTGTTGCCTTGTCTGCAAGGTGGAGCCAGTAATAATGACCTGATAGGATTCCAGGGACAATTAAATAAGATGAACACATAGAAAAAGCTTCACACAGAGCTGAGCCCATTGTAAGCACTCCAAACTAGCAGCTATTAAAACCTCCAGCTATCATGAGCATAGAGCTGGCTGCAGAAAGCTTGTGCCTCCAAAAGGAAACAAGGGACCCAGGTGTGTGTCCTTCTCTGTAGTGTGATGACTCAGCTCCTCACATTGTAGAGACCACCCCTTGGGAAGAGGACAAAGTCTCAGCTTTATCTCTCTGCATGGATGAGTTCCTCATATTAAAGACTCCTCCCACTTGGGCGCCTGGGTGGCTCAGTTGGTTAAAGACTCCTCCCACAGATCACATGCTGATTTCCGACATCCCAACAGTATCAAAGGCTGGTAAAGAACCCCAAACAGGTGAGCTCCACAGTGGTGGTCTGGCAGATTCCCTTGCTTCCTGGATGCAAGGGAGCAGAGGATGGGAGGAGTAAGCATCGTGTGTGTGTGTGTGTGTGTGTGTGCGCGCGCGCGCGCGCGCGCGCGCACTCCCATGAATGTTCTTAAAGACCCAGAGGAGAAACAAGCAGCGTCTCAGCTGACATTTGCAAACAGAGCTATATTGAGAGGTATCATCTTCTCCAGCAAGGTCAGAAGACTCATGCCTGCTACCCTGGAGAGGTGGAAATTGCAGGCAGCAAACAAAATCACACTGCCACTTGGAAACCTGCCAACTGCTACAATCAGGGTAAAAATAATTTAAAAAGTAAGTCGGGTGTGAATCAGAGGCTCTGGTACTGAGTGGAGTATGGAACGCTGCTGTCGACCCCCTCTTCTTCCCGAGGCCCCTCCTGCCCTGGCTTCTAGGACACAGTTTCTGCTCCACATTCTTCTGGTTGCCAGTCATCCCTGTGCCCTTCCTTGTCTTCTCATTCCTTTCCCAAGCCTGGGGCTCAGCCCTTGGCACCCTGCGTCTTCCTGCTAATATTGTATTCCCTGGAAGATTCGTCCTTTCTCAGGATTCATCTCCTCCCACCCCACCCTCAGTTAAGCGCCAAGCTAGAACCTCCACTGGCTCATGGACACTCCTGAATAAGCCATTCTTCATTCCCTGGCTTATTCCACCAACAAATATTTAATGAATCCCCGCTACATGTGCTAGGGATAGAGAAGTGACATTCACATCTGGTTGGACAGCCTATTGCGAGGAAAGAAAATTTTAAAAGAAACATTTAAAAATTAGAAATTGTGAAAAATGTTATAAAGAATATAACATGGCTTAACATGGACAAAACTGAGGGTTGAGGGAGGAAAGAAAAACTTACTTTTTATAAAGTAAAACCATTCTGAGTCGAGAGTGTTGAAGCTAACACCTGACGGGGAGCAGAAGCTGTGTGCAGAGTGGGGAGAGATCCTTCCAGAAAGATGGAATATCTGGAGAGAGGCTCTCAACTATTTCTTTACAAAATAATTTGACTTGTGTGGGGGGCATGAAATGGAAGGTCTCCAATTTGAGGATTATCGAGCAGAAGTTAAAAGCAGGCAGATAGTAGTTTTATAAAAGATGTGCTTCAGCCAGACATCCAAATAATTACCTAAATTGTCCTGACCCTGACATTTATCACCAGCCCTTCCCTTGGAGATATGTAAATAGGAAAATAATGAGAAGAAAGTTATTTTGTAATTACCCAGCATGAATCATAACTCTGAGAGGCTATTTCCAGGGGTGCTTTGGTGTAATTTAGTTCAGCATGATGGGACTTTAATTTAAGAAGACGTTATCGGTGCAGAGACGCTCCAGAACCAGACTCAGAAGAACGGGATTTTCATCCTGATATTCCTAGCCATCTGTCTGTAGATCTTAACCCTGTTAAATCTTCGGTTGCCTTCTCTGTGATATGGGAATAATTATTCCTGCTCTCCCTATTTCCCAGGAGAGTTGGGAAACCCAAGTAAGGCAATGGATATAAAATGCTTTGCAAACGTAAAACACTGTTCATGGGAGGGAGTCACTCTTCATGCCTTTCCTCAAGGTTGAAGGACTCCTTGTGGTTGCCACTGACAAAAGAGAGCCTAACTCAGACTAGTTTGAGGAGGAAAAGATTTACTGGCCACAATAATGAAAAAATCTGGGGTTAAATAACTTTAGCTATAGTCTGATCCAGGGGCTCAAATGAAACCATCTGTCTCCAGACCTCTCTGCATCTCTCAGCTCGTCTCTTCTCCATGCTGACTTTCTTCTTAAGGTTTTCTTGGTGGCTAACAGTTGCTCTAGACCGATACCCTCCCAGATTTAAATCCAGTAGGAAAGAGAGAATGCCCATCACTCAAGGAACATCCTGAGCCTGATTCTCACCAGCCCAATGGCCTTATGTGACCATCCTGCACTGACCACAGTGCCCAGGGCATGAGAGGCCTTGATGAGCCTTCCTGAGTCATAATCCCAAACCCCAAGCAAGAAGTACATTGGCCTGAGTGGGGGTCAGATGGATCCCTGGGGAAACCAGGAAAGGATGAACGACAGTGGGCCAGTGAAACAGCAGAACCTCACTCTGCCCCCACATCCTAGGTCCCTTCCCTGGAAATGCCTGGCCAGTCTTCAGCATGGCAAGACCAGCGATAACTGAAGACTTATGAGATTACAGGCTGGGGCATGGAAACCAGCCCTGCTTAAGACCAAGTCCTACAGAAACTCATGGTGCTATGCCTTTCCTCTGTCTTTCCTTCCAGACCCGAGCTTCTTTCCATCACAGCCTACAAGTCTTGATTCCATCCATTAATCAACAATCCTATAGCTTTTGTGTCTTGGCTTCTCTCCTGCACCCAGCCCTCCTCCATCCCCACGCCCCCATATACCAGGGCATATAAGTGATACAGTGGAACACAGAGATGTGATAACTACTTGGGGGCATCTGGGGTGGTGGGAGGGTGCGTGGCAGGGGAAAGGAGGTGATGCAGAAAGCTTCACAGAGGAGAAATGAACTGAGTCTTAAGTAACGATTAAGAATTTGCTAGAACCAGAGTGAGAGAAGATCATTCCAGGCATGAATCTTTGGATCCAAAACTATTTTGATCTCTCTTTACAAAAAAAGAAAACTCTTTTTCTCAACCCAGAAGTTGTAAACCAGTGGCCCACAGACAGACCGGGCTGACAGATGTGTTATATTTGGCCCACACAGCATTTTGTAGAATTTAAATTAGTTGCCAACATTTAAAAATGGTGAGCTTTTACATAAGGATCTGGATTTTCGGCTGCTCTTGAAAAACTCAGGAGCTCTGGCAGTCCTGGACCTGAGTCCCCATTGGGGCAACAACTGACTGAGTTGAGTAGCACCTGCCCTCTTGAGACAGGGCAGGGCCCACACAACCTGCTGGCCTCCTTGCTCTCCCAAGTCATCTGCCTGGTCTTTGTTGGCATTAGAGTTTGTGACTTGTCTCTACCCAAAAAACTGACCATTTACTCT